GGGGGAAGGGATCCTTAAACATCCACTGTGGAAATAGACAGTATTAATTCTGGCATGGAAATCATGGCACTTGGCCTGGCTGCAGAATGACTTAATTCATTTTTTAATGGACATGATGCTTTGCTGATAAAAGCCCTGAAGTGCATTTTAAAAAAAAATTAAAAATGATTGTTCGGTCATTACCTGTTGGAGGTTTCATTTGTAATGTTTATGCTCCTGCTTGGGAAGTGGAAAGGGCCAGGCTCAGGATACAAGGAGATTAACCAATGCGTTTGCACACTTGGCAGTTTGTTAACTTTGAGGTCTGGGGAGGGGGAAGGGAAGAACCTGTAAACTGGAGGGTCTCTAACCTGGCAAGAAGCCCTATGGGGAGGGGAAGGAAAACTAGAGAGCCAGGAGTCCATGTTCAGTGAGAGCTCCAGAGCCAGGCGTAAGAGATACAGGGATGTGCAACGAAGCTTTGTTGGAATTAGAGATGAGCCCGATCCAAACCACTGGATCACAACACCCTGCGCTTTGGGGGAGTTCAGATCCAGGAGCATAAATCACCACTAGCCGATGAGGCAGGCTGTTCCCCAGAATGGGCCAGACCCAAATGCTGAAGCCAAACACCTCGAACTGGGATAGGTGGTGATACAAACCCCCTCAGATGACAGTTAGGGTGGCCAGGTGCCCAGTTTTTGACCAAAAAGGGGACAGTCTCCAGTCAGATCTACTGACCAGACACCCAAAGTCCAGTTACTGTGGGTGGGGGAGGCGGGGAGACACTGAGGCATCACCCACGCCAACCACTACTGTAGCTGGGGCTGCCTCCTACCTGTGTCGGGCAGCTGCAACTCCCAGCCCTGGCTCCACATGCAAGTCCCTCCCAACCCTGGTAGAGATGGGGGAGAGAGGGGAATAGCAGTGAGTGATGAGGGAGGGGGGGAAAGAGGAGTGAATGGGGGCAGGGCCTCAGGGAGAAGAAGTGGGGAAGGGGTGGGGAAGGGGAAGATCTGGCATTCTTGCTGGGGTGTCCGGTTTTTAAATATTACAAAGTTGGCAACCCAAATAACATCTTAATGTAGGTGAAATAGCCATGCCTGCTAAGGGAAGATATTTCTCGGGTCTGGGAGGAAGGGAGCATTAGGCCTGGGGATGAGGGCAGGGAAGAGCTGTTCAGATGATATTTGAAAGCAGGGGTCAGAATATCATCCAAATATTAGGAAACTAAATTATCACCCAACTCCAAATACCAGCCTAGTTGCCCATAATTGTCCACCATGGTGTTTCTGAACATGTGATACTGACCATTGTCACAGACATGATACTGGAACACTGGTTTGATCTGATATGACAGTGCCTGTTTTCCATAGTGCATAGTGAATATTAAACTCCTGGAGTCCCCAGCATTGCTGTCCAGACCCAGCATCCATTTCCTAGTACCCAGAAGTGTCAGGAGCTGCTTCCCAAACTCACTGCCGCCTTCTCTATTAGCTTGAAGTTGCTGGGGAATTGCCAGCCTCAGCACTGTATTCTCTGTCTCAGGCAGTGAGTTTATGGTACGCATTTTTCAAGTGCTGTATCTGTGGGATTTTGTTGCCTTGGTTTTGCTCTTGCCGATCTGTTCCTGCAGGTTATCAGATCACTTTTTTTTCTGCTTGTCCTTATTTTAAATTAAGTGTTCTGTTTTTGTTTTGCTGGAATATTTTCTGCTGTTTATTCACCTCCCTGCTGTATGGTAAACAAGGTTGAGAGCATGTTTCTTACTGGACTCCATCTCTCTCTGCTGCCCAGACATTTACATTAAAGGGAATCAGAGGAGGTGGGGATTAGGGCCCAGAAAAAAAGGAAACCCCCTTTGAAGGAAGTTAATGAAACCTGGGCAAATAGCATGGTGAAAGTCAAATTAGCCAAATGATCAAAAGTCCCACTTCAGTTCAAGTCATGGAAACCTTGGAGCAATCAGAGGAAAATCTAGTGTGTCTGCAGAAAAGACAAAAGACATCTAAGGGAGGAGATTAAAATAGCCCGCAGATGCTGAAAGGATAAGTGAGCTGCTCAAAAGTGATGTGCAATAAGCAGACTACATTAATATAGTTATTACAAAGCAAAGAGGCCAGATGCAATCATCAAAGGTTATGATTCTTCAGCAAGAGAGAGATAAGTCTCCAGATTGAAAACTTAGGTGGAATCAGAGATCAATATCTAGGATTTGGAGTTCAGGTCCTCTTAGCAACACAGGCCAAATGTAGTCATGTATTCTGATGATAGGTGACAATACTCAATAGATAGATAGATTCCAAAGCTAAGTGAAGGTAGCAGAGGAGCCAGGCCCAAAAGATTGGGACCCAAGGAACAAAAATTAGGATCCAAGAAGATTTAGAAGGATGATAAAGATCCTGATGAAGATCTAGGCTATAGAGGGCAATGCAGCAAAATAATGTGATTAGCTACTAAAAATAAAGGCCTCTCTGAGTCATACTGTTGTTGATCCAGAGGCTTCAGGAGGAAATGAAAACCCAATGAACACATACAGTGATGAGATCCAGAGACGAAGCACTGAGAGCCAAGAAAATGAAGGGATCAGAGCTGGGGGCAGAGCATACATGCTGTCATGTTTTGATACCCTTTTCTCCTGATGACTCAGTGAGGTCCCAGTAATGGTGGGAGCTGCGTATCTTCCTACCCATCAGAAAGCAGGAGGGAGGAGTACGATGCGCTCAACCGCACCGAAGTCAGCAGAGTGGGTAGGACAGAGGGAGATGAGGTGTGATTATTTTAGTCCCCACTCCCACTCTTACTCAGACTGGCTGGCAATGGTCCAGTAAAAAGTCCCCTTGACATTGTTTTGGGTGATGTAGAAAACCTCACTGGGTTCCTTGGGCTCTCCCTCCTCCAATCTAGCAGTGCTGAAATGAATAATGATTCTCCCAGAAGGGGGAAATCCCGACCCTGAACATCCTGGGCTAGAGCCTGATTCCACTTCCACTAGGGGCAATCCAGAGTTAACTTCAGTAGAGCATCTCCAGATTTACACCAGCGTCACTGAGATCAGAATCAGGCCCTGAGTAATCTCCTGATAAGCGGAATGTTATTCTTTCCTCCTCCTCCTCTGTATTTTCCTGCAGTCTGTAATGCCATTTGCTAAATATATTACCATGGGCTATTTACCTCAGCCTGCCACTTTGCGACCTTTGAGTGCCTTCCCTCCCTGCCCTTCCCCCCTCCCATCATGGTGTGGGAATTTCACAAATCACTGCAGATTAGACTAACCTAACATAGGAACATGCATCACCTAAATACCCTCTTCACAAACTGCCTTTCACCTCAAGGACAAACCAAAAAAAGGCTCCTGCCGGCTGGTCTGCTTCTCACCGTGCACAAAGGATGTGTGAGAAAAACTACAGACGCAGCAGTATATTGATCTAAATTAAACACACACACAAAATCTAATTGAACTGACAGGGAACTGGTGGTTAAAGGCAGAAAATTAGGGCTGTTAATATAATAATGAACAGTTGTGCTTACTGTCTGTGCCTCTGACATTTCATATTGTCATCTCACCAGTTAATCACCGCCTCTCCCTCTTTTGTGGGAGCTAATGTGTTTTCATCCATTCGCCCAACGAGTTAGCTCTCCCATTGTTTGACGGTTACTAATATATTCTACCTGTTAATGAGGCACCAGGCTGGAGCAGCACAGGTGATGGACTCAATAAGTGTCTCTCTCTCCACAACAATCATTGTCGGGCCAGGCATTGCATGCTGCATGCCAGTTTGCTGTAGGCTCATCCCCTCTTCTTTTAGGTATATTTAGACCCACACACTTGGCCTGATCCTCCTTTCACATGATGTAAATCAGGAGTTGTGCCATTGAAACCAGCAGAGCTCCAAGACTGCTTCAAAACAGAAGAGGAGAATCAGATCCATGGTCAGTCGTGTGTGAACTGGTGGTTAGAGCACAGGACTGCCAGTCAAGACTCCTGGATCCTATTCCTACTGATTTCTGTGTGATCTTGTCCAGTACCTGCTATACAGCAGGTGCAGAGACTGATGCAGTTCACAATGCTAGCATATTACGTAGTTCTGCCTGAACATCCATTTACTGCACTAGCTCTTGAAGTTTTATGGGCATTGAGTAAAATACGGGGCTTAGGTTTATTCAGAGGTGCTATGCACTTACAGCTTCCATTGTCTTCAATGGTAACTGCAGGTGCTCAGCGCTTCTGACAATCAGGTCCCTCAGACATTTTTTAATGCACTGCAGGACTCATGAGATTGCTGACCAGCTGACACTGGTCAACTAAACAAGAAGTGATATAATACAATCATAATTATTAATACTTGGATCATATGGTATTTTTCATTCGAGGATTTCAAAGCACTCAAAAGTAAGTAAATATTATATATGATGGTGACACTGAGGTACTCAGAAAATAAGTGACTTGCCTATGGCCACACAGTGAGTCAGTGGCAGAGTTGGGACTAGAACCCATAAGTCCTGCTTCCCAGTCTCCTGTTATAACAGTTGGGGGGAGGGATAGCTCAGTGGTTTGAGCATTAGGCTGCTATATCCAGGGTTCTGAGTTCAATCCTGGTGGGGGCACTTAAGGATCTGGGGTAAAATCAGCCCTTGGTCCTGCTAGTGAAGGCAGGGGGCTGGACTCAATGACCTTTCAGGGTCCCTTCCAGCTCTATGAGATAGGTATATCTCCATATATTTGTTTTCACTAATGGAGGAACTGGGTTTCCCACTCATGGGGATTTGTTTGTTCTATCCATCTTCCATGCTAACATGTGCGCAGGTTGTCTCCACTGCTTTTCCGATAAACTTGGTTAAATCGCTTGAATGGATTCTTGACAGCAACAGTGTAACAGAAAGGGCAGCATCATTTCATAGGGCAGCTCCCCTGAGATCTTTCACTGGCTTAGAGCCTTTGAAATAAATGTTCCATTATCCAGAGCAAATCTCTCAATGAACTTCCCGCTAGCGATATATAGCACGGTGCATACCTACCTTGTCACTGGCAGCAAGGTGTGTGTGTACCAAAGTGATTGTTCCTACGTCCTCTCGTCACCAACACCCAAGGAGGGACAGGACCGTCGCACTTCTGGCTTCACAGTCAGGTTCCATAGAGTTGATTGATCTCCACTGTCTAAGTGGAGAGGAGGCAATTCAGAGAGGGAAGAGAAGAGCAGAAGTCCCAATGGCAGCTACCATGAAAAACAAAGCACAAGGAATTGGATCGCTGGGGAGAAGGAATTGGCTGTGGAGTAGCTCAGGCCTAGGTTGCTGGTTTGAATCCAGCACAGGCTGGTAGAAAGTACAACTTCATGTTGTTACCATGAACATAAGAACAGCCATACTGGCTCAGACCAAAGGTTCATCTAACCCAGTATCCCGTCTTCCAACAGTGGCTAATGCCAGGTGTTTCAGAGGGAATGAACAGAACAGGTAATCATCAATTGATTCATTCCCCCATTGCCCATTCCCAGCTTCTGGCAAACAGCAGCTAGGGACACCATCCCTGCCCATCCTGGCTAATAGCCATTGATGGACCTATCCTCCATGAACTTATCTAGCTCGTTTTTGAACCCTGATATAGTCTTGGCCTTCACAACATCCTCTGGCAAGGAGTTCCATAGGTTGATTGTGCATTGTGTGAAGAAATACTTCCTTTTGTTTGTTTTAAACCTGCTGCCTATTAATTTCATTGGATGACTCCTAGTTCTTGTGTTACAAGGAGTAAATAACTCTTCTTTATTTACTTTCTCCACACCAGTCATGATTTTATAGACATTTATCATATCCCCCCTTAGTCATCTCTTTTCCAAGATGAAAACTCCCAGTCTTATTAACCTCTCCTCATATAGAAGCTGTTCCATAGCCCTAATCATTTTGTTGCCATTTTCTGTACCTTTTCCAGTTCCAATATATCTTTTTTGAGATGGGGCGACCACATCTGCATGCAGTATTCAAGATGTGAGCATATCATGGATTTATGTTGAGGCAATATGATATTTTCTGTCTTATTATCTATCCCTTTCTTAATGATTCCCAACATTCTGTTCACTTTGACTGCCACTGTATATTGAGTGGATGTTTTCAGAGAACTATCCACAATGACTCTAGGATCTCTTTCTTGAGTGGCAACAGCTAAATTAGACCCCATCATTTTATATGTATATTGGGATTATGTTTTCCAGTGTGCATTACTTTGCATTTATCAACATTGAATTTCATCTGCCATTTGTTGTCCAGGCACCCAGTTTTGAGAGATCCTTTTGTCTCTCTTTGCAGTCTGCTTTGGCTGTAACTATCTTGAGTAGTTTTGTATCATCTGCAAATTTTGCAACCTCATTGCTTACCCCTTTTTCCAGGTCATTTATGAGTATGTTAAACAGTACTGGTCCCAGGACAGACCCCTGGGGGACACCACTATTTACCTCTCTCCAATCTGAAAACTGACCATTTATTCCAACCCTTTGTTGCTTATCTTTTAACCAGTTACCAGTCCATGAGAGGACCTTCCCTCTTATCCCAGGACAGCTTACTTTGCTTAAGAGTCTTTGGTGAGCGACCTTGTCAGAGGCTTTCTGTAAAACTAAGTACACTACATGGCTGTTCAGTATTTGTGTGAAGTGACTCTGTGGATCTCAGTCCATTCTATGAATACTGCTTCCACCACCACCATGGGCACTAGTTGTCCAGTCTCAGCCGAGAGGCCAAGGACTGCCACAGCAACTGATCTTCCCACTTACCCCTCGAGGACACTCCTCCAGCTCAGTGCTAAGCCACAGTGGAAGGAGAATTTGCCCTGACGCTACACGTGCTGTAATTATTGTGGGAATAAAAAGAAGACCTCAGTCCCCAGAGCTGTCAAGCCACCGTTAACAAAAATTTACAGATACTACCAAATCTGCCCATCTCACACTTATCTGTGCAGGTGTCTATTATAGCAACGTAGTTGACCTTGTCAGGAGACATGGCTGAGTGGCAGGAAATGCCAGGGAGAGCAGGCTTAGCAGGAGGAGAACTTTTCACTTTGCCATTCGTATTTCACTCTATTTATTGCCAACATAAACAAAACTCGCTTATTTCCTTGTGTTCATATCCTAAAGCTCCCTGATCTTCAAGCCAGGGTCACCTTAGGAAATAAGCGTCGCTGTACTGCATCAGGGCTCCATCTAGCCCAGTATCCTGGCTGTGATAGTGGACAGCTGCAGATGCTTCAGAAGGAGGTGCAAGAAACCCTGCAGTGGATACTTATACAATAACCTGCCTGCACATAGAGGACGTTTCTTCCTAACCATCACTTGTGAGAGGTTGGCTTACGTCATGAAGTAAGAGGATTTATATTCCTTCTCATGTAATTGTCGATGTTGCTGTTGTCCATATTTTGGTCCAAGCTTTCTTCCTTTATCCTGCTTAGCTCTTGGCCTCAGTGATATCTTGTGGTAATGAGTTCTGCAGAATAATTATACATTGTATAAGAAAAAAATTTCCTTAGACCAGTTTTTAATGTGTTGCTTTTCAGTTTAATTCATTGCCTCCTTATTATTCTATAATGAGAGGAAGTAAATAGGAGCATCCAATCTACCCTCCTTACACCACTCATTATTTTGTATCTGACTATCACTTCCCCTCTTATTCGTCTCTATATAAACAATGCCAGTCTTTTCAGTATCTCTTCACTCCGAAATCTGTCCTGGCCTTTGATCATTCTTGTCACCTTTCTCTGAACCCCTATATTTCTGCTAGATCCTTTTTGAGACAGACTGTCTAGAACTGAACACAGCATTCCAGGTGAGGGCATACCAGCCATTTATATAATGGCGTTCTCATATTCTCTGTATTGCTTTTTATCCCATTTCTAATGGATCCTAGCACTTTGCTTACTTTGTTTTACCATCACAACACATTACATACAGGATTTCATTGAGCTTTTTCTTCAATTAAAGAAGAACACAGAAACATGAATGAATAGTTTAAATGACCTTGTTCCTGGTTGATGATGGCCCCATAATCCTTTACAGACAATTTGCTTTGTTTAGGTTACTGATTTCCCATTCTGTCTCTCTCCATTTGCCTGTCAAATACACTTCCAAATTCCACTGTCTATTTCTGAGGATGTCTGAATTCCCCAGAAGCCCAGTCTGACCTCATCAGTCCCTTTGCACGCTGATTTTGGAAGCGTGGGTACTTTGCTCCAGTTTGTATACACATACACGCCACCAGCAGCAGCTCGAAGCCAGGCCAGTTGGAGCATTCTTAGCCTTCCCCACTGTAATTTTCAGTAAACCCTCTGACGCAGGCTGGAGCTGCTGAAACCTAGTTTCTAAGCCAAACCCTCCTGCAGCCAGAGACACGCTGTTCGCTTCCGACCCAAAGACAAAATAAATCTCTCTCCCTCGAGAGAGGAACAGTATTAGTGGGTGACATTCAGTCTCCTGCAGGGAGGAGGAATCAGTCAAATAGCCCAGCTGCTGCTGCCCTGGCAGCTTGAGCTGGTCAGGTTTCGCTTCAGTGACTTGGGCTGATAAAATCCAGAGGACAGTCAGCAAAGGCCACTGAACAAGCAGGGACAGCAGAAATATTGTTAGAGAGAGAGACGACAGCAAGGGTGTGTGCGCAGTGGGAGGAGGTGGCAAGGCAGGGAAGAGTGCTGACTCAGCAGCCCCGGGGTGACAGCACCGCATTAGCACAACGCTCCTGGGGGACAGCCAGTCTAGAGAGATGTTCCGTAAATATGCTCCCTTCACCTCACGCAGACTGTGTCCCTTGGCCCGCACGCCCTATGAGCTGCTCCTGGGCTGGGGTCGAGGGAATGGGGATAGAAGGATCAATATAACTGAGATGGGATGAGTTTAGGGGCGAATTGGCTGTTTTGTCAGTCAAGCACCTTGTTTCAGGGCTGTACTCCTGACTCTGTGGAATGGAAGTGTTGGAGTGTGAGAGGGGTGTGTAGAATCAGAGACCCCCTCAGGGGACAACTGGTCCCTTCCTTTTCCATCATGTCAAGACTGAGCTCAGTATCCCCAAACCACCCTCTGACAGGTGGATGTAAGGTCTCAGCCTGCAATAGCCCCAGGGAGGGCAATTCTACCAACTTCCAGAGCAACTTCTTCTTCACCTGAAGCATTCAGAGATAGGCGGCTTTTCTTGGGCCCTTCCAGGACTAGAAATGAGTGCAGCACTGACTCCCACTGGAAAGCTGGTAATTTCTCCTTCCCGGTGGATACAGCTCCCTTTCCTAGCTTTACAGGAATGTGAGCTAACCGTCTTTAAAGCTGCAGGGCTTGATTCTCATTCAGTGCCAGTGCTAGATCATTGGGGCTCTACTCAGGAATATATTGGGGGGCCTTCTGCGCAACACATACTGATAATTCATAGGGGGCCCCCTTGAGCTGCTGGGGGCCCTAAGCAATTGCTTAGTCGGCTTATGCCTGGCGCCGGCTCTGTTCTCATTTACCCCTAAGGTCCCTTTAAATGTCCATGACAAAGTAAAGGGGCCTTTAAATAAGAGTGATTGATGTGACCTTTAAGGCCTCTTTACACGGTCAAAGTGGTGTAAAGGGAGCTTAGTGACAATTTTATATACAGGACACCAGTTACTGGCCCGGCACCAATTCTAATCCACCCAAGGCCTTGAGCAGGGGTAATTTAAAGGAGAAGGGAAAGGAGAAATTCCACGTTTGGCAGAAAAAAGAAGGAAATATTACTCTGACAGGTTGATTTTAAAAATAACACAAAAAACAGTGGGTGTTTGAAGCTGCTGAGGGGTTTGGAGCACTAGAATAAGTCACAGGGAGAGGAATGGGTGAGCCGAGGATGTGGATCTAGGTGGGTGCTAAATTCCACCAGGGCATACCATAAAGGTATCACTTGGATACGGATTCCAGATACACGGCATAATTATAGCTCTTTTTTTTTTAGAAAATCTTTTTGAATTTGTATGAAGCAGCACAGAGAGCCAGTGGATTACTGATCATTGAGAGTTATCCTTCCAGGATAAGATAATCAGATTCATAGACAGTGTAAGCAAATATGTCAAGCAATTACTTGGTACAGCCCACTGTAGCAATTGGTCACATTAGGGATTTATGCATTAACTGTGTTAGCTCAACCGTCAGCTCAGTTTGGATAATTTGGGGAGTATGTATGTATTTATTTATTTTACTGCAAGAGCATGTGCTGCAAGAAGGGCAAGGCTGTGAGCAGTGTTGTGGTTTTGCTACTTTAGGTTCCTGACAAGTACCCAAGGCACCAAACTGAACATCTAACCTGTCAGGTCTGGAGATATCATTGTGTTGTGTGTGTCTGTGTGCGCGATACACAACTTTCTGTCACCTACTCACTGCCACTGACAGCAACTCTTCTCTGACCTCCCCTCTTACGCATGCAGGGGCAAATCAATAGATACAACTTCTGTGTTCGCAGGACTAGGTAGTGGATTCATCCAGTGCCATACAGCAGTAGCTGTTCTGTAACAGGGCTTTGTGTGTGGTACACAGAACAATGTTGTAGCCTCCAGACTACAGATTTCTCTCCTTCTTTGCCTGTCAATTGCCCCACTCTGTGGGCCTCTCAAAATGAAATAAATACAGATTGGGAGCCGTTTGTCACCAATTGTCTAATTTTTGAGGGGCAGGGATGGATCCCCAAAATACCAAACCAGATATACTAATGCTGACTAGAGTACAAGACTGTGGTCTGTACAGTCTGTGTTGAACTGACCTATTCAGAGACACCACCAGTAAGTAGATGTCTCAGGTGCAGTGGTATGAGACTTTTCAAAAGATGAATGTGGGGAATGGGAAGAGAAGTGCAGGAGGGAGAAGTTCACTTAGACCATTAGTGGTCACTTGTACTGACCATTCTCCACCCTACCATCCATCTCACCGATGTCTCCAATGCTCCATTCGCCGGCTCCTTTATCAGCAACGAAAGCAGCTGGGACACAATTGGATCAGCAAAGAGGTAGCATCACCTCATAATTACCATAACTAAATCATCTCTCACCTGTAGCTCTAGGAAAGGGTTGAGAGAGAGATGTGGCAACTTGGGGTGAAATTCCAGATGCTAGGTAGGTGACTTTCTGTGGCTTAGCACTCCACTCATTAGTGAGGGAAAGGAGTGGGAGTGGGGTGTCCTCTAACAAGGGAGGAAGGAGGATCTGCAGCATGATTCCCAGCCAAGCCCAGGACTGCTTAGCTCCTTCTGGTTTAGGAGGGCGCCAGTGGGATTTTGGCTCATCTTGCAGAACTGCTGTTGCCTTTGGACGATGAGAGCCTCAATTAGAATCTCATCTGCGGTGAAGGGCAGGACAACAACTGGCTAGTAGTGGATTCCTTTGTGGTTAAGTCCTCTCTGTGTCGAGTCACCATCAAGCACTAAGGAAGGAAAGGGGTTTGTAAATTCCACTATCTGGGTAATGGGACATGAACCCACACAAACTGTCTCCTTCCCTGGCTTTCTGTCTCAAACAAATTGGCTGGGAGAGGAGGGGGCTTCAGGCTCCCTGTCAGCAAAGCTGCTTATCAGCTCTAGCCAATATTATTTGCTTTCTGTAGGGTCCCTGATCTCAATGAACCCCAAAGCATTTTATAATAATATACAGAAGTCCCTTCACCCATCATACAGTCATCTCTAGGGGTGGGGATTAGGTGTAGTAGCTGTTCAGCAACACACAGCAGCTTAAGATCAGAAACGAAGAATGAAACTACCGGAAGAATGTAAGTAGTAGAATGAACTGCCTGAGTTAGAATTAGACCAGAATACCAATATCCTTAACTCTTGGGAGGAGTGTTGGGGATCTGTAATGAACTGAAGAGATCAGTGGGTTTTTTCCTCTCTCCTCCAGAAAATGCTGCCTTTAACAGCACAGCACCCTCATGCTGTCATGCTGAGACATTAGTTTGGTAGTGATTCAAAGGGAAGAGCACGCCACACATAGACTGAATTAGCACCACCACTTCCTGCAGCACCTGGGTTTTTTCTTAGTGGTCTCCCATCCAAGTACACATGCAGACAAATACTGCTTGGCTTGTGGGGTGGAATGAGGGCACAGTTGCTACTACACAGTTCATAGAGCACTCAGATGCTACCCTGGTGATCACCACAGAAATGTCAATAAAGAAATAGTCTGTCTTCTCTCCTATAGCCTCTTCACGTCCCAGCTGCCACGGGCCACAAGTATCTCCTGGTCCCTGGGCCTACCTGCCCCAAGCAGCAAGATCGTTGTTCTCTAGCTGCAGTGGCCCTGACACTAAAACATTCTGCAAGACAACTGATCCTATTCTAATTGTTCAAGAACTTGGAAAGGTCACCAGAGATGAGCCAGTGAGGTCAGCCGTCCAGAGTTCACTCTTGAAAGGCCCCCTGGGCAAAAAGCTGAGGATGGATACCCATTAACCAGGTTTCTTTCCTCAGCTGAGTTCTCCTCCAGTTTGGGAAACCTCCTTGCA